AGTGGAAGGACTTGGTTAAAGACAAGCGTATTTGTTTTGTTTATCGAGGTAAGGACAAATGTCTTTAATTTGGATAAATTAAAGAGGATGCACCAATTGATGACACATGAACAAAGGACAAAACTTTCCATTACCCACACACCCACCAGCACTGTTCTCAAACTTTTTCGTCTTTGGCAATCTGACAGGAGAAAATGGCTTTTCATTGCTATTCTTGTTGTATTTCTTTGAATGAGGTTGAACATTTTTTATTTGCTATTTAATTTTTTTCTTTCTTTTCCTTTTCTGTAAGTAATCTGGAGGCTCAAACTGCCAAGATTCAAGTCCTGGCTTTTTTACCTGCCAGCCATGTGATCTTGCGCCATTTACTAAAATGTATTTTGCCTTGGTTTCCTCTCTTAAAATGGGAATAATAACACACACTATGCTTTAGAGTTATAGTGAGAACTACATGGGTAAATAGATGCAAAGTGACAGGCACATGTAAAGTAAGCACTATACAACCTATAGCTCGCATTCTTCATGTCTGTTGCTCACTTTCCAGTTGCAATTGTCTCTTTCTTATGGATTCATCTATTCAGAAAAGTAGCCTGTCGGCTGTCATACATGTTGCTTCCTTGCCTTTCATTTACTAACCTGAAAATAAAAGGTCTTTCAAAATGAGAGACAATACACATTTATTTGAGATCAATAAGAATAGCTATTCGGGACACACTGATTCAGGCAGGAGCCCAGATAGTGTTCTGATTAGGAGACAAAGGTAATGGGTATTTATGAGAAAAGAAAGGGGAACAATTACATCAATAGAAGGAAGGCATTACTATTGGTGCAGATAATATAATATAGTGATGCTAATTACAAACAATGTTTTTAATTTTCAGTCTGGTGATCATCAGTCAAGGAGTCATAATACTTGCTTTCTTGTTGTCTTTGCAAACAAAATTGCTTTAGTCCCAGTCCAAAGGTTATTTTCCCCGTTTCAGCATTTCAAAGATTTGAGGCATAAGACATGTAAGGCAGTTCCTCTGACATGGCAGCTCTGGCTCCATTTATTATTTTCTGACACATCATTTGACTCTTTCTCTAGATTATTACATTCCACGCCGAAATATTAAATGGCTTGTTGAACAAGCTCAAAGGAGTCAGGAGGCTTTGCCTAAGAATCAATGACAAAGATTTAGTCAAAGGTCTTAAGATTTGCAAATCAGAAACATAACTAGACAATATCCAGAGTGTTTTGAAAGAGAAAGAAAAGTCTGAGACTTTTTATAGTAAAAAGCACTCGTTTGAAAAAAAGTCAATCCTGCATTGTTAGCCCATGGATTGGCTCAGGATGGTAATCATCCAGATGTTTTGTGGATTGAATAATGGATGCCAGATTGTCTGGATAATGAAAGATTCTTTCTTTAGCATGACAAGTTGTTATCTATAAGAGATATATACATCTC